TTATATATATACAAGAATTGCTCATTTAAAGATATAAGATAATAAGAAAAAAAAACTTTTTTTATTTCGTCGGCCTCCGGAACTTCATCGTCAAAATAATGATAAAACTCTGCACACATTTTAATACAAACATTGCCGATAACGTTACAAAAATGTACTCATGAATATTAATGCTAAGCACTCGGAAAGTGTAATTATATATTATAGTTCATTAAAAAAACTAAGCTTAATATGAACTCATAATCTTATGTATAAATGTGTATGTATAATACATATCTCAACGAGCATATCTAAACACTGGTGTCGAGCGACTTTACTAATTTTCGTTAGTGATATGGCCGCTGTGAAATTAATTGACCGAAGGCCATCGACCCAGCCGGCAGTGGACGCGTGCTTGCGGCTTCCGATCACTTAATCGGCTCCCACATCGCTCGCGCCCGACCTCTGCCGCCCATTACCCGCACTGATCGAATTCTACAATGGACTTTTGGAATATGTCAATAGTGAATTTGCTAACTTAATCGGGAAATGTTCCTTAACTACTATTCAACTAACGATTGATTTAATTAAATTTAAATCGAAAACTTTATTTGAATACGGTATTATCGTCTCTATATAAATAGTTATTATTGTCTCGTGTCAGGATTTGGAGATCTATGACGCGGTGGTGGACGTGCGGTGCTACGAGCTGACGGCGCTGTTTCTGTGCTCGCTGTTCGTGCCCAAGTGCGGCCCACTCGGCCACATGGTGCGCCCCTGCCGCAGCCTCTGCCAAGGTCAGCTTCCACCTGTCCTCACTGCCCTTGCTTTCATATACACAGTAGGGTTGACTCGCCAAAAATTGTCTAATTAAAAAACCTATCTAACATAATCCTTGATTGAGGACTTCTATCCTTAACGACTACACAGAAACAATGCGGCGGTGCGGGTTCTTCCTGGAAGTTTTCGGACTGTCGATGCCTGACTACCTGCAGTGCGAGATATTTCCGGAGTCCACGGACACAGACGTCTGCCTCGGCAACAAAGAGGTCAAAGAGGCTCGGATTAGGGCCGCTAAACCGGGTAACTATTTGAGATCTTTATGTCCGTACGCAAATAGTTCATTGATTTATCATCTAGTAGAAGGAGGCAAACGACGACACATCTAAGGTATTTGATTGTCGTCACCAAAATAGCATCAGATGTTAACAGCTAGAAGAAAATAAAGGGATCGAGAATATTATGGAAAAGTGTGGAATATTGTTTGTACAATTGTTGATGTGTTTTGGGGTATCGGTGCGCAGTGTGCCCGAGCGGGTTCCAGTGCGACGTGCGGCGCTGCATTCCGCACGACTGGCGCTGCGACGGGCACGTGGACTGCGCCGACCGCTCCGACGAGCTCAACTGCCGCGTCTGCAAGCATGGCGCCGACCTGCACTGCGGCAACCAGCGCTGCGTCTCCCAGGTGCACCTTTGCGACGGCCGCGTCGACTGCCCCTGGGGACAGGACGAGAGGAATTGCCGTGAGTACTTCTGGTCACCTCTACCGATAAGTAGCCCGCTCAAATAACTTCACCAATTGTTATGTATGTTTTTACTTAGTAGGTACCCCTAACATCAAGTAATGACAAATTCGTATGTTTAAATAGTGTTGATACTAAAGCATATGTTTATGTTCCGTGTATGCTCTTAAATCGCTACCGGACTATAATTTTGATCTTGGATTTCAGCCAAGAATGCATAGAGATATACTGTACTAGCAGATTAAAATCGGTTAATTTATAGAAATTTCTGATTTAGAAGAACTGCCCAAAAGCGACTTTATCTTTTTATTTTACTTAGTCAGATATTTTCCCTTTGTTAATAATAAATTTACCTAAAATATTTAATACGGTCTTCTTGGTAGCGATGAAGGCTTCTTGGTAAGGTTGATTTTCCAAAAAAATATGTATATACTTTTGACGACTAAATATAACTATTCATGTCTGGCAAAATTATATTAATTTACTTATACATTTTAATAATAGACAAAACAATTTAATAGAACAAATAAGTTCATGTTTCCATTTTGTAAGCTTGTCATTCAATTGCATTCAATAGCCAGCGATCGATTTATGGAAATCTTTTCAATTTCCGACGTTCAACATGGAGCGATATAAATGTTCAATTCTCACTTTGCGATCGCCACATTGTGCCTACATCAATTCACTGATAATTACTATCATTTTATTTTACTTATTAAATCTTAGCAATTTAAAACTGATGTGTATGAAACTAGTAATTTTAGTTTGCCGGAAAAAAAACTTGATCGAATCAATTAGGATGGTAACATACTTTGGAAAGATGACCTGGAAACCAGTCGCATCTGACTTAAGTACGGGAAATACATTAGCGAGTATGTGCAACAGTGCGGCTGAGCGAGGCGACGGGCGACGTGGGGCGCGGTGAGCTGCAGGTGTACCGTGCCGCCAATCAGTCCTGGTTTCCCGCCTGCATCGCCGCTCGCGCGCTCGACCCCGCCACTGCGCACAAGATCTGCGCCATGCTCGGATACTCGTAAGATCCCGCGCTGTAATATACCTGTTCTTCCTAATTTATGCCTACCTATTAGGAATAAACATAACAAAGAACATACCAGGTACAAGAAATTTGGAAGACCTTAAGAATACACTGTCGAACGAACATACTATTGTGAGACTTTCACAAGAAGAAACTTGGTTCAATTTAACAGTTTGTACATCGTAACTTGTCGTAGTTTGGTGAACCGCAGCAGTACAGTGGGCGGCATGGGTCGCGTGGGGCGCATGCATCCACACGTGGGGCTCGAGCACGCAGAGCACATGCACTCAGAGCACGAACACAGCGCGGCGCAGTCCTTTCGCGCATTTCAACGCCGCGAGGGTGGCCTGTTGCGCGAGCTGAAGGACTGCCGGCACGACTCTGCACACATTCATCTCGTCTGTAACAATTACGGTAAGTTTTTACACATCGAGCATAAGCTCCAAACGTACCGTTTAAAAAGCGTTGCAGACAATATTGCAGGACGTCAGCACACCTGGTAGTTTGACTTGTTAATATACCGGGCGTCTGTTGCGTCGTGTGCTTACTCGTAAATAAAAAATAACAAGGGAACACCGAACGGACGTCGCGTTGTCCGGCGCATGCAAAGCATTCCACTACCGTTTTAATAAAATAAGGCGCGCATCTCAGCAGCGCTGCCGGCTCGGCTCGTCGCTTTAAAACAAAGGGAATTAAGCGAGTTGCTACTTTGTTTGCACGAAAATAATCGCTAACTCATACATAAAATCCGCTCAACTCTAAAATTACTTTGAATTGAATTTTCAAGTCCACTCGATCGGTGAGTTTAGTTCTCAATTAAAAAAGTTTTCATGTTCCTTTTTCTTTGAAAGCCTTTCCTCGGTTTTGTTAATATTGGTAGCAAACGAATTTTTAATTGTTACGTCTTGAAGTCTGATGGTATTTTATATCCACGGATATCTTGATAACTGGAATACAACTGATTTTTTGGATGCTTTTATGCACATAAACAGTGTTATCCACAGCTCGTTTGGTCTCGAGAACTTTATGTTGGTTGATATGTGCAGGTTGCATCGCGAAGATTTTCTTCGCCGTAAAAACGTCGGATAAATGTACAAGTTAAATTTGAAAATCGAGAACACGCATTGATACATGTCGGGGATTGAGCTAGGTTCTTGCGCCACCGGCGCACTACCCTTGACGTGACCTACTTAAATTATATTACAGTCATAATAAATATATTGTTTTTCTTCGAAAAGCTATCAGTATTTTTATCATCCTTCGGTTTTTATTATTACCGAGTTTATGAACGCCTTAATTGAATCGAAAGGATGAATGAATGAGAACTGCCTCGTTATTTGTAAGTCACGAGCACGGAGGGTGATGTGGAGCGTAAATAAGGGTTTCCACTGACGAAACACTTGGGATAACCGTATCGTGATCCCTGTTTTTCTCATTGAAGAAAAAAGAGATGGCAATACAACAATGTTATAGGACAGGGCAATATCTTTTGGAATTCTGTGTACAAATAAGTGTCTTTGTTGACAAATAATAAAAGAAACAAATAAATCTAAGTGTAGTATAATTTGGTTTGGACGCACGGAGATTAACGTAGTACTGGCAGACATAATCCAGCGAAAGGGTTGCTGTAATCGCGGTTAGTTATGATAAAATATATATAAAGCCTTACGCATGAAAAATTACCCATAAGACAAGACATGACATGGTACAATCAGACAAGGATCTTAATAGGGAGGCGGAAATGTGCTATTCTATTTTTTTACTTTTGGATGGACAAGCGGCGAGTATTAAATAAAAAAAGTAATTTAGCAAACTTTATCAATAAGCCAAAGTTACTGCTCCATATTACGCTGCTCGAGCACGTGAAGGGGGAGGAGGAGGAGGGAGGGGAGGAGGTTGCTGTCACCTCCTACTTAATTTTACTTTTGTCGACTACTATATTGTTTGTACTATGTTGAGAGCTCAGTTAACCTGCTAATAATTTATTTTATTGCTTAATTAAGTGATACTAACATTTATTTAATCCGCTTGTAAACACATAATAAATACTGTATACAATATTTTGACTTCACAGCTTTGTCGTATATTCCACGCGTTATATAGAATAACATTCTCTCAGTTAAAAAATATAAAATAAGAGGACTTATTATTTTAAATGGCCATAAAGACAAAAATGTTGAAAGATTAAAAATACACGAATTTCGTAGTTTAAAATTTTTAAGCACGCTTTTAAGCTAAAATTTAATTCATTGGTGGCACACCATAACAGATTTAGAAATTTAAAATGAAATAACAAAGTTATTATTTCATTACAAAGGCGTGATTCGAACAAAACACTTCGCTTAAAACATTTCTACAATCAAAAGTTTTACCAACTTTGAGGATCGCGAAAACTGATGTTGAATCTCCTCCGCAAAATCAATTTCACTTCTGTTCGTAAAAATATTGTAAGTACATTTTAACGTTTGAATTTTAGAAGTCAAAATACTATTCAGAATGATAATAGGTATATATAAATGAAAATATGCATGAATTGGCCCCAAACATAATATACGGATACTAAACAACAACTTGGCCTGAGGTCAAGCAGTATGCAGAGACTAAATTAAGCGAAGAACGAAGAGCAACTACTTGATGACCACGTCAGGTGCAGAAAGACTGAAACAACTGAGAGTAAGATGAACTAAACAACGAATAAGCGCTGATAAATCTTTGAATTGTTGTTAACCTTGTTGTATTGTGTGCTGTGTGTGTCACGAAAATATTAAGATCTGTCCAGATGTGTCTGAAAGGGCTTGGTATTTGTTCCCATGCGTGATATAAAACATATCAATATCGGGAGATCGTAAAAAAGGATGTCACAATAACAACAAAAGACACCTTTGTCATAAAGAATTCTCATCAACGAAAATAATATCTGCCGGCGACCGCTCTTACGTTTTTACACAATTTTTACCGGTACAAAAATTAAAGCGAACGAAGGAACTTCAGATAATGTCTTTGTGCCGTTATTGAAGTCAGCCCCTTCATCAAATTGAAATCCAAGCAAAACCCCTTTTTGTTGCAGAGCAAACAGATTTGATTCACGGTTTGGAAGTTAATTCTTTAGTTTACATGCGGTCACTTTTCCTTTATAATACAATGGAAGTGCTGGTCACTTGTAATCTTGATAAGTTTTAATATTTAGTTGATTAAAGAATCTTATTTATGTAGAAGGCAGTAATGTTAAGCCGGGCGACACCTGTCGCACCACGAAGCTTCTCCATCTCAAATATAATTAAACTTTTTGTAATCCCCGCAAATTACAACAGAGAAAAACAAATTACTCTCCGCTAAAGTTGTACCCCCGTCCTTGTCGTTGTGAAATAATTTGAATTGACAAAAATATAACTGACGTAGACAAATGCAAAGGCCGACAGTTCTGACTTCACCTTATTAATTAAATTCACATTGTATTATCGTAATCATCTCGTGTGTCTTGATATAACACTCCGTTAACATATAAAGTTTTTAAAGCTGAATTTAACAAATTATAAAAAAGAGTTTAAGGTATTTGACTCTCTCCCGACCGACTTACTGCGGGGTCAAGTAGAAAATGTACAATGGCCCCGTACCACTGACATCTATATATTAATGTACGGATATTGTATTAGGTTAGCCGAATACAACCTTTTCACTCAACAGGCAATAATTAAGCGCCGGAGTTCAATTCGACAAATACGGGTTCGGTCTCCGCCACGTAATGATGAATTTCATTTGTAAAATTCGACGCTATATAGGAAGAAATTTAGGCTAGCGTAGTTGACTCAGGCCTAGTCAGGGTCGAGTGCCATGGTGAAGACGTGTAAGTTAGTTAATTTACGACGACTGTAATAAAGACAGCGACAATGGTACAGTTCTACTTAAGCTCGGATAAAAGTGTTAAAAACTGAACTCGGATGAAGGTAGAGTTAATGAGTGATCTTAATTATTCCGGCCGCATCGCACCGCTCCTCTGAATTAATTAAACATCAGGTCGCTTCTCTGGAGCGCAGAGAAAATGTTTTATTAAGCAACCAAATTACGAGCACGAATCCAACGCTATTTGTAATATTGGCATCTCGTGTTAACGTCGTAAGTACACTCTTAAGTACAGCACCGGTTTACGCGTGATGCTGGCCACCGACGTGGTTTTGTGTTTAAAATCTCACATTATTCCTGACTCCCAAAAAGTAGTTTTATTTGAAATTAAAACAATATCTTCTATTTTATCAAGATTTATACCGTACCGTATTACAATCATAGCTAATTACAACAAAATATTTTTGTTTTTGCCGCTTCAGAAGTAAATTCGCCTGGTTTCATTATTTATCCCTCGTGACGTGAGTCTTTATTCACATCAGTTGGCTCAAGAAACATAAAAAGGGGTTATATTTCAACTTCAAGTTAGGCAACGCTCCCACTGGTCCACATCATTACGCAGACGACCGCAGCTGAGCGCAGCCGCCTGTCACCTTGATGAATGAACGAGAACAACTCCGAGTTTACCATTACACTACGCTTTGTACTTTTATATACCTAATGCCTTCAAACGAAGCAAATAAACTTTATAATTTCAACAATCAGATTTCAGATAAACATAAAATCCCTTATTAACTGTCAAAATCGGACCATTAATTCTGTTTATATCATTCTAAATAACTTTACACACTTATCTTATAAATACAGAAAGTCTCATTGAAGATGAGTGTGAGGCGTGCGAGGTGGCATAATATTGAGGCAAATCAACAAACTTTTAATTGAACGAGTCAAAGTTAGAAACTAGGTTATAGGCAAATATGAAATGGGAATCTAATTTCAATAAACACTTTTCGTTATAAGTTTGTACGATACAGACGTAAATCCTGTCAATTATAAAAAAAATGTAAATTATTGATTTTAAATGATTATTGAGTATACAATCAGTAAGATAAAAAACGAAACATGCTTCCGTAGAGTGCGGCAAACGTCGGACAATTGGCGGGGGCACGAAGCGCATTGTAGGCGGCGTTGAAGCGTCGCCCGGCGACTGGCCCTTTCTGGCCGCTATCCTCGGCGGGCCCGAGGAGGTGTTCTACTGCGCCGGCGTGCTCGTCGCTGACCAGTGGGTCCTCACCGCCTCGCACTGCGTCGGCAAGTGAGTCACCACCTTTAAAAATTACTCTATGACCAGAACGACAAGAGCCGCCATCCTGAGGAAGGACACCCTCGAACTGTCAAATTTCTAATAATTCACATTCTTTACAAGGAAACTGTTCGTCAGCCTTCGTAGTTTTCTAATCGTGAATGAATGAAATAATATATCTTCACCAGCCACTCGGACGTGAACGGGTGGACGATCCAGCTGGGCATTACGCGGCGGCGCTCGCACGCCTACTACGGCCAAAAGGTGAAGGTGCGCCGCGTCGTGCCGCATCCGCTTTACAACGTAGGCGTCGCGCACGACAACGACATCGCACTCTTCCAGGTACCTCGTTCGCAACTATATAGTTTGTCTGCAGATCTATCAACTGATGGAGCGAAGCGTACATAATAATTATACAATGCTGAGATATAATATTTTCCCTAAGTGTATGGTGTCATAATTGGTGTCGCAGCTGGCGGTGCGTGTGCGCTACCACGAGCAGCTGTCCCCGGTGTGCCTGCCGCCTGCACGGCGTGCGCTGCAGCCTGGCACGATCTGCACCGTCATCGGCTGGGGCAAGCGCGACGACAAGGACAGTCAGTATAATATGTAATTCTAATACGGCCGTGCAAGTCGGTCACCAGGGGCTGATGATATTTCGTGTATTCAGTGTCGGAGTACGAGCCTGCGGTGAACGAGGTGGAGGTGCCGGTTCTGAGCCGCGAGCTCTGCAACCAGTGGCTGGAGCACCGTGATCTCAACGTCACCGCAGGCATGGTCTGCGCCGGATACCCCGAGGGCGGCAAAGATGCCTGCCAGGTACAAACGCTTAGTCTTGTTTTCACCTAAAGTTTTTTTTGTGCATAAATAACCAAAATATTTGGGAGTTGTAGATTGTAATATGTAAACCATTACCTGATCTGCAACAAATTAGTTCTAAAATAAACGCAATACACATCTGTGTCAAAGTATCACAGCATAATATAAAATTTGTTAATTACAGGGCGACTCCGGAGGGCCGCTCCTGTGCAAAGACCCCGAGGACCCATCGCGCTGGTACGTGGGGGGCATCGTGTCGTGGGGCATCAAGTGCGCTCACCCGCGGCTGCCTGGCGTCTACGCATACGTGCCCACTTACGTGCCCTGGATCCTGCGCCAGCTGGAGCTCTACAACGACGACAACGCGCCCTCTGACGACACATGAACTGCGCGGCACTCTTCACAACGGACGTGGAGGTTATTGCACCATTAATGTTTGGAGACATTTTGTGAAATTCCGTTTTCTAAAGGTATTTTTGTGATCGTTGCAGCGGTTGATGGATAGCCAATATAAATAACGTTAAAATTAAAAACATTGCCAATACATAGATAAATTATATTTTGATTTAGATTCAAGTTTTTAATAAAATCTCCAAAATTAATGGTGAAATAGATAATTATAATGAGCACGTTATAACTGTGTTATTAGACATGTATTAATACGAAAATGACGAGACGTGGAAACTTTTGACAATAATAAATAATTAATTGACAATAAGATATAAACTTTGGACAATAAATTTACAAATAATGACAATATATGTATATGTAAAATGTTTTAATAGTACATAATATGGGGGGTGTAATGTCGCGCGAGGCGACAGGACGCCGCATTGTTGTACTGAAGTTTACAATACTTTTTTAATAAACTTTGTCATTTTCTCTCGAAACCTTTTTCTCGAGACGTGACGCTAAGTTGCATTTATACTGAAATGTTTAGGAGTGCTAAGTCGCTTTAGGATAAATGAACTAGCTAGTAGTGGAGAAAAGCTTTAGAAATGTTTACATGGTGCCCTTTTATTTCTCTCGTGTGTTCTAGTCTAGACATATATATGTTAGTGCGTATTTGTTTGACGTTTGGTGTCGTAGTGTTAGGCGAGGGCTTACAAATTGTTATAACGTACTTGTGTGTCGTTTGGATGCAGATGTGTCTATATTTTATATCAGTACCGTTCTCCATCCAAACGAAGTCGTCTATTTATGAATAAGCTATATGTTCTCATACATATAGATCATCAGAGAAATGACAATAAATATATTTAGTTGATTTATGGATAATACTAAATATTCAAAAGTTATATTCAAACATTGATATTGATATATTGATACAATAAAGATAAAAATGCAAAGTGACAATATTCTTAAAATTATATTTATGTAATTAAAATAGCTTTAATAGTTTGTAAGGAAAATAACTAGCGAAAATATCAACATAAAAAAAAACTATAGATGTAGATTATGGAAAGAATTTTATTTAGATATAGCCGATTTTTACTCAAACTATTTACTATATGTTTTTTGTTGGCGATCTATGATTTTAACAATGTATTATACAACATATTATCACTTTAGTTTGTACAACTGTGCCATAATAGTTAATTATATATTCAAAATAATAGAACATAAATATATAACATAATATAATTGCGTTAATAATGTAATAGAAATATAAATGATATGCTCAAAGTTACTGTAATGGGTAATACTCGTATAATATATATTTATTAGATGTAGTTGTATACAGCGTGCAGCGGAAGTCAGTCAGTGCGGTCGGTCTAATTCCACTTTTTTTACTTTTTCCTTTAAAAAAAACATACAAAAACGTACGGAATGTTCACAGTTTTTTCTGAATTTAATGGTTTTCAAGAGAGAAGAGACAAGACAATTGCAAAGCGAAGTTACGAACTTATATTAGTTTTTACGGACCGAACTGACTGGATGTTAGTTGTGTGATGTAGGTATACAATGCCATCGAAACTTTGTGGTGGCTTGTTAATTAGCACGAGATGCTGCAAACAATTTTACGTATCGAAGGGACGTAAAGCGTTTACACACTCTCGCAGCTAACAGCGAGCCGCCATAAACTTTGAATGGTGTATTACAACATTGACGACTAACATTTGTGTTCGCTGACGTAAGGTTGTCGACTTCTTATGAGCCTCCTTCTTAACTCGAGCTTTTCTACTAGAGTAAAAATGTTGGAAATTTTATATAACACATAATATTGTTAAGACAATAAGTATATAAATACCACTATATTATACTATGTACTATATTATAACACGTATGAACCTCAATTTCTTAAAAACTCTGAGTCGTATTTATTTAAATTGTTTAAGTAGAAAAAATATTTATAACTAAATGTTTTAAAGCACTTTATTGGGCTGTTATGTATTTATCCCATTTAAACATAATATATTTTTACAATTTTCTTTTAACAAATTCCATATATTCGGTGTTACTATAATATAATTATTGTTCCCAAAATTTGATTTATTATAATTTTATAATATTTTATATATTTGTAAGAATTGTACATATAACGACAATTTCTATTAATTTTACACGGATAGGATTAGTCATTCCAATAGGAACTAGGATAAAGGAGTTCTGTACGTAGATAAACCCGCTCTAGCGTTTCCTATCTCTCAATTCTAACCTCAAACCTTCTTATATTTTACTCTCTTTACCCATTAAGTTGTTTCTATTTGTAGTATTGATCTATTACTTGAAGGATAAATAACATACATACATAGGTAATGCAAACAACAGATCAATTATGATATTTCAATATAATATATTATTCAATTGTTTTTATTTATAATTATATTCTATGGAGACACGAAACACGGAGAGGTCTTCCCACTATGCTTTAATCTTTTGTAAATGTCATTTCTAAATCCCAATCTCTCTTCAGTAGTGTCGCTTGCGTTGGTTTTTAGAATCAGACTTAGTGTGTAATACACTCAAGATACATAAAGATTATAAATAAACAAGAAATGCATTGGTAATTGGCTTTATACTGAACATGTAGTGGACATGTTCACTCTAAATGTAAAAACATAGTCGTACACAGCTCAGAGTTTGTGTCGTTACCTAATAATATATGTCGTATACATAATGTTTAGATTGTAATCAGTATTGAACTTTTACTAAATAGATGAAATGTTTCGTGTTCATTGATATTTTGTTTGAGTCAGCCTGTTTGACTTCAACGTGTTAATGTAATATCACTTTAATTCGGCACGTGTTCTAATAACTTTTATGTGCAACTTGACAATAATTTATGGTGATGAATTAAATAAATTTACTGTGTTCAATTAATACTTCGATTTCGACAAACTTAACTTTAAACATGTTATGTTAACGTTGATGTAAAATCTACATTTTTTAATTTGCATTCAACAATTATACATTATATTACAGGCTAGTAAAAATGTTACTATTTTACTAAAGATAAGATGATATTGAAAAGTAGCCATTTGCAGGCTTCACTCCATTATACAAGTAGGTGAATAGTTCTGAGGAGTAATATATATTACAGGCTAAAATAATGGTTGTGTTGTAGACGTTATTGTAATGTCGTAGTGTTCATATATGTACCAGCAGCGCTGCGGCCGCTTGCTTCACGACAATATTCCTCATTGTAACAAGAATTCTGGATGAAACAAATACAATATCAGTGGTCAATTTAAATTCAACGATATTCGACGAAAATGTCAAAATAAATATCAATTATATACTTATCTATACACTAATATTAAAATACGAAGTAGATAGCGACTTTATAAAAATTAGTAATTCTATGGTAGACAATAAACCTAATGTTAAACTAAATGTGACAATAAATGTCTGACTAGATACTATCATCTCTATTGATACATTGTATTTATCGAAATTTGTATTTTTTTATCGCGTGAGCGCGAGTCTTCATAGTATTGTACTGACAGTCAATGTGTCGGACAGGTCGGGACAGATACATAAATGTTAATTATAAATCTATAGTTCAAGAGAGGACTTGTTTTAGGACCTCGTTTAAATTAGTCTAAGCTTGTGTAAAGCGTAGCCTGGTAACATACACGCACAACATTATCTCAACTTTAATACAGCATTTAGATGTTTCTTTTTAGACGTGCCGATATCAATGTTGTTATAGTAAATGAATGTTTAATGTCGTAGCCGCCAGGCGTCGCTTTGTCGGCATACTTCTGTTTCCCAACGGGTTCTTGTTAAATTAACCTTGTATTATAAATTTTATTTATTTATTTATAACGTAAAATGAATTGAGATATAATTTATACGATTTATTTACAATTGTAGACTATAATAATGCAAATGTCACATATCACAATAAGTATTATACATTCGGACATGTTTAGGAAAGAGCATAGTTCCTCCTAAAATTATCACTTTCATGACATACTATGTTATCAGATTTTGATGTTATTTTTATTTAAGTGACAGTATTCAAAACAACAAATCATTTAATTTGTGCAAGTTTATATATTTTATTTATTTAAAATTGATACATGCAAATGCAAATGTATTTTCTATATTTTATAAAACGTGGTAAATTGTGAAAGTGATATACAAAAATATAATATTTTTCTAAATTAAGCTAATTATACTACAAGGTAATTATTTTTCTATTTAACACTGTTGCTAGCAAGAATTACATTTTATAAACGGCAAAACACAAAGTTAATAAAGTGGCAACATTTTATTTATAAGCTAACGATTTTAAATGCTTGTCTGTTACATTTTCTTGTTTTAATATTGTGAATCTTTGCTTATAAACATTTCTATTTAAATGTTAGTTTTCGTATTATTGGAATTAAAATGTGTGATGAATGTTGCTTCTGATAGTTTATATTGTGTAGCTTTTCTTTGTCTCTGACGCTTGTAATAAAACAAATAAATGAAAACGTATTTTATTGTCTCTTCGCACACATTATGAGGTCATGTAGAGAAGGAAACAAGAATGTACTGCGATCATACATTTTTTTGTGTAATATATGGTGGCGAGCGAGTAAACAGTCACCGAAATTCGTCGACATAACGATATGACAACTGCCCAACTGCTCAATTGTAGACGCGTAGCTTACCTTTTGTCGACGGAAGACGGCACGAACGGAAAGATTTCCTCTTTCAATGCGTCAAATTTTCTTTCTTCTATCCTTCCCCTATAAGATAAGGGTAGGAATAGAAAGAGCACCAAGGCTATTCATTTCTGTGGTCGTGGTATTGCATCGGTCGAGCCGACATATTGTTGTAGCTAGCTTCAATGTTAAATATTAAGTGTTGGATATGTAGTCAAAGGAAATAAAAGGCAAGTTTTTAATATATATTTTACTAATGGGTATATTATAGGTATATAATCAACAATGGGTATAAGTAACTAGACAATTAACCGCTAACTAGTACAATACGTGGTTACAAGTCAGTTTACACAAGTATACGCGCTATGTTCGCCGCCGCTCCGCGCCGCGCCGCGCTTCACAACACTGCGCCGGAGCCAGGCGCAACGATTTACTTTATAACAATCCTGACGTTACAACATTTATTTTATTTATATTCAATTTCAAATGGAACCAATAATTTGACTAAAACTAAATCAATATTACATCATCGCTTGGTTTCTAAAGTTACTTTAGTCTCAAAGAGGATAAGTGAAAACATAGGAATTGCAATAACGTAGTAAAAAAATCGGTTTATCGACGTTTATTATTTGAAATGTTGGCAAACGAAAGCTGACTCCTGTGTCTTATAATTTGCACAAACCTTATAAACATATTTGTTTGTTTGAAGTTTGAAGAAACCCTCCATCGCAGGTCGCGGTCCGCGTTGTGCAAGACAACTGACTATTTGTATAAATATTGTCCCGATGTTCGTTATTCTACACGATGTAAGTTAAGATCAAGTTATGTACACGTTAATGGACAATGATTGGGCGATGAGAATTTACAGAATCGACTAAATACTTTGAAGCATTCACATGATAGTGGCCAAAAAGAAATAAACGGCAAATATTCAAAATATATTTCACACAAAATAAATGCATTTTCTTGTACAAATGTTTAACTGTTTCCATCCATCTCGTATAAAACCAAAAGTTTTTATATTGATGCAGTTATATGTAGGCATGGGTAAACATTTGTGTTATGTTATCTGCAATGTTTAAAAATATCGTTTTTGCTCATGAATAGTTAGGCGACCGCATACCGAGGAAGACCTGTGTCCAGCAGTGGGTAGATACAAGCTGATGATGACTATGATGATGATGATGATGAATAGTTAGTTAGATAACTACCTATTTTATTTGGCGGCTTCATGCGTACATTTGGACCGACGTTTACAATTATAATACTTGCCCAATAATAAGAAAAGCGGTTGTTTTACCTTAATACAAATAATTAATAGAACAATTATATTCATACATAGAATGCTATATTTTATATAAGTTCGTTTAAGTTATATTTAAAATTACATTCCGTTGTACATTTCTTATTTTCGATGTACGAAATCGAAGTTTTAAATGTTAACACTAAAACTGTAGGGTCGAGTCACACCGAGCGCTTTATCGCGTCTAGTAAGTTGACGGCGATTTACACAAATATAAGCGCGCAGTATGCAGACCCTTATTATATAGCTATCAGGAAATTGCTAAACAACTATAGTGTATTGTTGCTCCCAGCTTAACTAATCGTAGCTTCCTACAACTATAAGAGGAATAAATTGTGTAATGTCAATAAAACTCTTTAAACGAAATAAATAATCTTAAACCTTATCACAACGCGCTAAGACATATTTTATTGTAATGAGAAATCCAGAAATGAGATATCGCGGCCACATGTACCACCTCCCAGCTGACTGTAACAATTCTATCATAACATTGTCATATGCATAATTAATTGCAAGACACTTCTTTCCAAATACGAAGTATATTAGTATAGTAATTGACGTTGGCTTCTGGAAATTTAGCAGTTGTATCCAATGTATTGTAGACTATTTAATGCTTCACTGTCACATACATTTTTGTTATTTTTGCCGTTAGATCGTTACAGCAATTTTAACTTCATAATTGACTTCACACAACCCGTAGCATATGACCGCGCACTACAAAATACAAACTAAGTCCCACTTCTCTGCTTCAGTCTTGAGTAGTTTTTTTTTCTAAATTGACTAATTATTTCATCATTATTCCGTTTAAATTAACAATTTCTAAACGAAATTTGAATTAAAAATCCTAGGTGAAAGAAAAACTAAAAATTACGCGTTAAATAAGTAAATATAAAAGATACAGCAATTTATAACGAAAAAAGTATCAAGACCGACAATCTTATACTTTACGACACAAAATTGTTTTTTGAATGATTTAAATAAGATAAATTTTAGCAGATTAAATGGTACACGTTCAATTAAGCTTCTAGAAATATGTTCGATAGAAAAGAAGTGGACATCCACAAGACCGGGACAAATTTACGAAGTTTAAAACGTGATAAGCTTAAAAACAATGCTTAATAAATAGTTTAAATAGTATTGAAAACTAGAAATAATTATAAATACCTTTTTAAATGCCCATATAATACGCTACTAAGAAACCTTATATTATTATTTTACTTTCAAAAGTTAGAAAAAGATATGTGCAAATTGTTAGTTTCACTAATTTGATAAATGTAGAAAAAAGACGCTTCGGACTAATTTGCTAAGAATAATTTTTTGTTTAATTTATTAAAATTTAAATAATCTAATAGAATCTTCCAAAGTGAGTTACAAGGGACGTATAATGGACATTCAATGCGCTACGGAAACTTTTACAAACCACCAAAGACATACGTACGTACACAGAATACTTCTTTTAAATTGCTTTCAATTCTTCACATCTCTTTATCGTTTGATTCAATTTTATCATCGATTGTTTTTATAGAATGAGATAAGCTATACCTTTGTCTTGGCAAATAAGAAAACAGAATAATAACAGTTTGGAGAACTTCCGGCGCGCACAAACGTGTCTATGGACGTACACATGTCTTCGTCTCCGACTATTTCTACGCTAGTAAATAGAGCCATTTTGCATCGGGCAGATAATTTAGATAAATATATCGCTCAAACAACAAACATCTAATAAATATGATAACGCTATGACGTTATGATTTATGCTTACATGTAATGATATGACACGAACACAAGAAAGACTCGCCTCCTCCAGTGTGTACAGCTGCAATGTACTTGTCTGTTGCCTGGAATGTACCCACGCGCTTTGTTACGCCGAATTATTCAATGTTATCTAATATTACAAGATATTAATTAAAGTGCAAACTGGTGTAAATACTTTGAACTCAATTTCCACTGTCTATCTGTGTGTTTGTGTGTATGGGTACATTACATTCCACTGTACAATGACAAATACGATCTACTTCACGACGAATTTGTAATGGCCTAAACGTATACGAAGGTAGGAGCATTGTCAAATATATATTTAAATGAAAGCCTAACAGGAGTAAAGGTAACAACATATTTAGTAAACGCTATATAAATAAATGCAAATTACATATTAATTATTACTAAATCTAAAGAAAAAGCGAAACTCTTAGAAATACAAGAATAATAAAATACTTATAATCTTTGGTGCAATCAGTCGGTAAAACTTATATTTTTTTTTTGAGATTTAATAAAAATAAAAATAGTTTCTATAAGAAAATCTAATTTGTAGACGACATTGTGAGTGAGAATAATTATAAATATAATAGAAGACGTGACACGTACAAATACACAAAGACGCGTTCACGTGACTTGTGTTATGTTGTGCTCACACTGTTCCAAGTCCTTCGAGCAGGACGCGACAGAGTGCGGGGGATGCTGCACACGCACCACGCACCACGCAACACGCAACACGCATCTCTGTCACTATCACTACGCGCTAGTACAACTCTAAACAAAATAAGATTCACGCGACTCCTCGATTTGCTATGCACTTCAATATTGTAGTTCTACGACATTTTGTTACATTAAATTTACTTTTAACGTTCGCTTCTTTTTCTATTTGTTTTCGAGAACATTAAGAAATTGATTTTTTCAAATAATTAAGAACTATCTGGTAATTTCAAACTATTTTTTAAATAGTACAAGTGATAAAAATTCAGATTCGTGAAAAAAAAAACACCTCATTAACCACTTGGTGTTTTACAAGAAACTTAAAACACATCGGAAACACAAGATAAACAATAGCTACATAAATAATGAGATCCTTGTTAGAACATTTAGAGGAAGACTATCTGACTCCAGTCAAATATAAAAGAGTAGTTTGAACACACATTTCTAACCAAAAATTATTTACAAATGTAACTAATGTAAAATTAAACAAGGAATATAAACATAGATTTAAATTCGCTGCTTCCATCTGTGTTAGGCCTTCGCAACACAACACATTCCTGCAATATGCCGTTTTACATTTTACTAAAGTCAACTTTTAGATCGATCGATCGATAGATGAGATTAAAAGTTTAAGAACTTATTGTACGTTACTTAACCGGATCATATTAATGAATATTAAATAAAATATTATACACATTAAACATTTACAACTATTATATAAACCTCAAACATTAGTCATACGGAAAACTAACCTCCAATAAAAATCTTTCACAACATTTCTATATAATAACATTTAAAACATGAGCAAATCCTTTTTAAATAAGCTTAATGATAAATTACTCAATCAAAATTGGATTGTATTACGTAATGCATAGAGTTGTTATACATACATACATACATACATACACCAGTTGACAAATGAAAGTAACCGACGCGTTCCGGAGATCGCATCGCATCGCATCGCATCGCATCGCAGCATCAATTGGACTGATGTATGGAGGCGAGGAAGGCCGGGTCCACGGAGGCCACCTTGGCCGTGAGGAAGGCGTGCATGCAGAACAGGAGGCTCTGCAGGATCTGGCACTCCAGCTCCTGTCGGTCGGTACATCATGCATCTCTATTTCTTTAAACGATTATTTAAACTTCAGTTTTTACACGTGACGATTATTTGGAAGCGACGCTTACGATGAAACCGTTTCAATTTGTTGTAACACATAATTGCTCACCTTAGTCTCGATAACCTTGGTCTCCGTGTCCTGGAAATGCAGTTTCAACTTTGATTTGCCATCGTCGCTCGAACCTCTCAACTGTGAAAACCTGTCACCAAAGAAACCTTTTGTACTATACAGAGCAATTAAGACGGCCCAAATATAACAGTCGTCAAATATCGTGAATCATGGCTCATCCAATATGTATGTGTGCAGTGTGAGTGTGAGAGTCAGGGCTCGTGCATCGCGTACCTGTATGACCAGACGGGCGGCGCGCCGGGCGTGCCCTCGCTCAGCGAGAACCCGCTCGCCCAGTCCAGCGTGAGCCCCGCCGCGCGCCCGCCGTGCACCACCGTGAACGTCTTCTTCTGCAACAACAACCCCATTCCGATACAAATTTTATCCACGACATATCAAACCTTAAAGTTTTATTATTGAAAAGGTCGTAAGAATAAAACGCGGCCCTGAGTGACCGTTCTAAATTCTGACGTAGACGTCACTGTAATTTTTAGTACAGAAAACATAAACATCTATTTTATAAATGTTAAACTCGAAGCACGACGCGATCTGCACGCTATCGCGGACCGCGACATTGATGGAGCTGCCGCCGACGGCGAGCGCGTGGCGGCGCGCGGCGCGGCGGCTGCGCCGGCTGGCGCTGCCCTGCGAGTGGCACCACGCCGGCGCGGCCAACCTGCGCAGCCGCCGCAACCTGCTGCTGGAGCGCCGCCGCCAGCTCGCCACCGGACACTGGCTCATCTGGCACCCCTACAGCCCCCTCAAGTATTACTGGGACTGCTTCGTCGCCGCGCTCATGTTCCTGCAGTTCATTTACATGCCTTTTCAGGTGTTCGTCGTGTGTGAGTCGAGTTTGTTAAATATTCCATTCTTTGGTGCGCGCTTTGTCAACAAAATGTTTGTCAAACGTTTCGTCTCGCCCCGTAGGTCCCAATCCGAGGGATCCGTTCATCTTGGTGGGTGATGCGGTCGCGTTGGTGGACATAGCGACGACGTTCGTGACGGGGTACACGGACGAGGACAGCAAGCGTGTGGAGCTGCGCGCGCGGCGCATCGCGAGCCGCTACCTGCGCGGCGCGCTGTGGCCGGAGCTGGTGGCGGCGCTGCCGCTGCAGCTGTACCGGATGTTCGACAAATGCAAGCTGCCCACCCACACGGCAATGTTTGTGTTTAAGCTGCCGCGGCTGGCGTCCATGGAGCGCAAATGGAAGAACATCCACGAGCAGTTCGAGCTGTCTTACATCACGAGCGTACTGCTGCTGGTCGTCTTCAGGATGATTCTGTTCTTCCACTGGATGACGTACGTGCACTACCAGGTGCCGGCGATCTGCTCGCACTACTACGCCATGGACCGCAGCTGGCTGCAGCGGTTTCGCGGCGTGCAGCTGCCGCACAACACGGTCTTCAAGAAGTATACCGCCAACCTGTACCTGGCGTGCGGCCTCTGCATCGGGGCCGGCTACTACACGCCCATCGGGGTTTATGTCATTCCAGGTTTCGCGACGATATATATTGCGCTTCATTACTGCCAACAAATTAGAATGTCCCTGTTGCTAGTCGATTAGGATCGACCAGGATTAAAAATTGTATTTTGTTTCAGAGCTCTTGTTGACGGCATTCATAGGTCTGATGGGGCTGATCTTCCTGCTGTACTGCTTCACGACCCTCCTGCGGCTGATGATGTACAAGCAGTACGAGTCGTTCCTGTACCACGGCAAGCTGCGGGAGCTGGAGGAGTACATGGAGCTGAAGCGGCTGCCCGCCCTGCTGCAGAAGAAGGTGCTGCTGTTCCTCAAGTACGAGTTCAACGGCGGATACTTCAACGAGCCCCTCATCCTGAGCACCATCAACGAGCAGATGAAGCAGGACATCAACATGCACCGCTGCCGCAAGCTGGTCGCAAACGTGCCCGTCTTCGGCGACATGCCGGTCGCGCTCCTCAACACCATCGTGTTCAGCTTGACCCGCGTCCTGTACATGCCGGGCGAGGTGAGTGCTCCTCGACACCCGGACCCGCCGCAATCGATCTCTCGGTTGCCATTTTCTTGTACGGCAACATACAATGTCTTCGCGTGTTTAGACCGTGGTGCGGAGCGGGGAGCCGCTCACGCGCATGTATCTGATCTGCTCCGGCACAGTCGCCGTGATGAACTGGGCGGGCAAGGAGGTCAGTATGAGCATTTCCATACATCTTTACGGCGAGAATAACATAGGTACTGAAGAGGTGGT